ATGATAATAGTGGACTCATACAGGGCCTATTCACGATCTACAGTACGCTCTTTGGGCATGACAACCTCAGGTCATTTGCGTACAATATGATCAAAATAACAACTGATTTTGGTTGAAAATCTTCAATGCCCCTGCTTATCTTTAGCGCGCCTTTGTTTTAGGGACTCTCAGTTGAGCTGCTCGATTGGCAGGCCCGCTGGCATTGTAGTTCCTCTGTGGTCTCGTCTGCGTTTCTAAAAATAAAAACAAACTATTTGTTCGTAAGTTAAAGTGTAAGTCTGTATTTCTATGTGTCTATGTATAAGCGTGTGCGTGTTTGAGCTTATCTTTGCGTAGTAAGTGTGTTTGCGTGTAATTTGCTCATTTGTGTATTATGTGTATGCCTGTGTACGTGGGTATTGGGTCTGAATGTTTATGCATCGTTGTGTGTGTGTGTGTGTGTGTGTGTGTGTGTGTGTGTGTGTGTGTAGGTGTGTGTATTTGTGACATTTATTTGACTATAATAGTTATCATCTGATCTTCTTGGATGTTACATAAGAACTATAATGTAATGATATTTTACTCACAAAATTTGGAAAACGAGTTCGTAATAAACAAGAAGTATCATTTCATAGACTCTCAATCAAAACTATCCACTGCAAGTATCACAAATAGAATCCAATACTGCCAGAAATTGGTTAACCTGCCGAAGGCTGTTACAATGTGGTCTCTTCAGACACACACACACACACACACACACACACACACACACACACACACACACACACACACACACACACAAATACACACACACACACACACACAGCACTTCTCTTGCGTGCACACCCTGAACAACAAAGTTTGTAATAACACATCCTAAAGGTCAAAATAAAGAATAATTTATTGCAACTTGCGGCCAACAACATCAACCCACTTTAGATTATTTAGGAGACGTGAGGCTTCGGCCTTGCTTGTCGAACTACATTGGATGCAACCAAGCAGAAAAACGGCTTAATAAAGTAGCTTGACCACGAGAAAACCAAACTCACACTCTTTACACTCAAGGCGAAGAGCTTTACTACAACCATACACATACAGTGTAGATAATATAAAAGATAATATGAGAGGAGATAATATTAGAGATAAAAATAATCTTTTATCGCCCTTGTGGGAAATGTTCTGTGGCTTTAAATGTAGAGGGATGGGGGGGAAATCAGTATAGATATACATAGAAATTAAATTGTACATTATTTTAATAAAAGAACTTCAATATGAAGAGAAAAATATAGTATACCCAGTAAGAGTAATACATTTTTTTAAAAGATTGTCTCAGTATACTTTTGAGATGTCACAGTCTCGTCCTTCCTCCCCTTCCTACCCCCTCTTCCTTCTCCCCCGAAAAAAATCCCAAAAAAAGAAACAACAACAAAAAACAAAATAAAAAACACCACAACTCGAGGGCTACCAACCCATCAATTGTCGCTTTCCTTTCCCTCTCGGTGATGCATCAGAGCGCAACCCACTTCAGTGACAGAATCGCTGCAGTTACTTGCCTTGTTAGGGCTCTCCTCCCAAATTCGTTTTCCTGGAGTCAGGGACAAAATTGCGGTTTGTCACCAGAGCCGCTGCCATTACCCCGCCCTCGTTGAGTGCATTTCGGGGTAGTCCTCTGCTTACTCTACAATTTTAGAATCGATTCAACACAGAAGCCATTTTGCAGGTATCGATAGTAAAGTGTATATTCTTATCGATACATCGTTATAGTGATAATGATGATAGTATTTGTCATCTCCATCATCTGCAGCAGCAGCAGCAGCAGCAACAACAACAACAACAACAACAACAACAGCATTAGAAGCAGCAGCAACTATAGCATCACGATAATAATAATGTTGATGATAAGGATAACAACTTTATCATTACTAATACTAATGTGGTATTGAAAATAAAACATCATGATGTTAATGATATTAACATATTGCGAAAAATGATTAAAAGAATATAAGCAATGATCACAATTATTGATAGTATTACTAAAACCGCTATCATTATAGTCAGATAATTATTATTGTTATAATTGTTATCATTGTTAATATTATTATATTATTATTATTATCATCATCATCATTATTATGACTGATGATGCTGATGATGATGATGATGAATATTATAATTAGTATTATTATTATAGTTATTATTATTATTATTATTATTATTATTATTATTATTATTATTATTATTATTTTCATCATTGCCATTATCCTCATTTCTTTTTCGTTATACAGAAAAAATTGGTAGCAGCGGCAGCAGCAGCAGCAGTAGTAGTAGTAGTAGTAGTAGTAGTAGTAGTAGTAGTAGTAGTAGTAGTAGTAGTAGTAGTAGTAGTAGTAGTAGTAGTAATTGGAGGAGGAGGAGGAGGAGGAGGAGGAGGAGGAGGAGGAGGAGGAGGAGGAGGAGGAGGAGGAGGAGGAGGAGGAGGAGGAGGAAAGTGGTAGAAGAAGAAGAAGAAGAAGAAGAAGAAGAAGAAGAAGAAGAAGAAGAAGAAGAAGAAGAAGAAGAAGAAGAAGAAGAAGAAGAAGAAGAAAACAAAATCAACAAAACAGCAAAAGCATCAGTAATAGCAACAACAACAACAACAACAACAACAACAACAACGTGATGTGGAATTTTTAAAATTCTAATCATTTCGTGTAGGATTACGAACAATAATAATATTATTAAATTTCGACTCAGGATGTCTGTTTTTCAAAAGTTATGCCTTATATTAAGAGGTAAAAATACTCAAATTAGTTGGAAAGTACTTTTTTAAACTATAACATTGAAAAAAAAAAATCAAAATATCGATACCTGCGAGTTCCACAGCACTTTCTCTTTTCACTCAGGCATTTCCATCAGATGTAGTGATCTCATTTGCATAGCACGGGATCGCTTTTCAAAATGTGTGGCAAGGCTACAAACTGACATTCCACTCCAATCTGAGCGAGAAGAAATTCTTAGAAAAGAGTCCAAGTGCTTGGGTATACAGCGCGAAAATCTTGCAAAACGAAAGTGGTGTTAAATTGCTTCTCGCGCAAATGCAACGCGACAGCATCATTTGGCGGGAAAATTGGCACCGTCGAGAAGAGAGATCTCCACCAGTCGCCCAAGGAGACTCCTTGCTCAGGGGATATCTGGCGCCTGGGCCCTCTGTCATTATCCACTCTTACCGGGTCTCACAAGTGGCCCCCCCCCCTTCCATCTTCCCCTCTCCCTTTCGCCCTCCCCCTTTTTCTTTCCTTGCCCCCATGGCTCCAGCCGAGCCACACCTCCTTGTCGAATCATCCTTCTCACTTCTGAGAACGGAGCGACGGGTTTGACATTGCTTCTGTAGTGGCGTGTGCAGTTTGGCGGAAAATGGGCGATGAATAGGATGTCTCCGCAAAAAAAAGTAAATAAGTAAAAATAACGAAGCAGGAGATAGATCGTGATTCAAGTCAAACAGCAATACGTTGCGTGTTGTTCTGTCCCTAAACTCCATTTTAAAATAAATAATTCAGAGACATTTGATTGTTTGAATTGAGAGAAGCACAACGACACAATGAATGTCACTTAGTTAGTGCGATGAAAGAGAAAGACATGCAGGCGAAAACAACAGAAGAAAAGTAAAGAAACTTGTGGCCTCCTCCAAACACCTGTAGATTTAGGGATGCTCCGCGGACAGCGTGTGTACCGTGTATATAACTTATAAAATAAAACTCATAATTAATCATAAATACAACGTTCAAGAGCAATTCCCTTTATCGTTTCGTAACTCAGGTCTCATTTAATTACTCATTGTTTGGAAATAAATAAATTATAGATCTGGCTGAAATGCTAAGCTTCCATAATTCTTTTCGGAAACTGATTTTGCAGTAGTTTTTTTTTACTTTGTTTGTTTGCTTGTTTGTTTGTTTTTGTTTGTTTGCTTTTGTTTGTTTGTTTGTTTTGATAAAATTAGAGTAGTACTGTTATGTTGGCTGTATATTGTAATGAAAATGGGACGCACAGTGATGTATTTCAAAAGTTGTAATCCAATGCCCCACAAATAGGCGAATGGGAGTAGGACTAATTCATTGTCTCCAGGAAGCCATTTCCTAGTTAGTAACTTTTTAAATGATTGTGTACCTACCTAGTAACATCTGATAGTATCGTTTTATGCGTAGTTGAAGGATTAAAGGAAATAGGCTGTCTCATGACCATCACTTTTGAGACTGCTTAGTTTTGGTAGGCGAAACATTTTTATCTAATTGCAGTTTCTGTGAATTCAACCTGGTGTGGATTCCCTTTGTGCGTGCATTGATCCAAAGCTTAATTAAACTCATTCCCGTCCGTCTGTGAACTTGCATATTTCGCACACTGTTCAGAACTCCTCGCTAACTCAATAGCGTCTTTATAGGCGCGACTTGAACAACCAATCAACTGACCGATGGCGCTTGTAAGTTTGGTTTTATTGAAGAGTTTCATGGCTCTCAGACAACATACCCTCGTCCTTTGACTATGGACACCCCCCCACCCCTACACACACACACACACACACACACACACACACACACAAACAGCTTAGACTCAGTTTTGTATTAGCAGGGACCTTAGAGCCTTGCGACGTCATAGAATGTTGCATAATAATATCTATATTTGATTTTTAAAATATTTAAATATTTTTTGAGAAGGTAATACTTATAGGTTTCTTTGTTCAGTGACAAGGCGTTGGAATTACAGCTTTTAAACGATCGGTAGTAGTAGAGGGTTTTACGGCGCTCGCAACTGCATAAGGTCATAATGAGAAACGATTGGTAAGCGCCATTTTTAATTACGTACCATATATACTCGTCTATACACAACCTCGCAAACAATACGAAAGGTTTTTTGTTTGTTTGTTTGTTTGTTGTTGTTGTTTTGTTTGTTTGTTTGTTTGTTTGTTTGTGTTTTATGTTTTGTTAATGTATTTGTTGTTTTTTTGTGTGTGTTTTTTTTTTTTTTTTGGGGGGGGGGGTTACTATGACTCTAAAAATGGCCCAGTTTTTGTAGGTATCATGTAAATACAGGGTGAAGTTTTTGACTTTCTTGAGGGGACTAAACATTCATGACATCAAGCACTAGTCGGGCATCAGATAAGATGACTTACCTCAAAGAACTGTTGGTTGTTAGATTCAGATTGATTTAATCTTCCAGAGTGAAATGGCAGATCATCCAAACAAGCCCGTATTATGTTGTGTACAGTTGTGATATCTAGATTAAAATGTGTAATGAATCAAAAGAAATATTCGACATTACTTACCCTTTATTGGGGACGATCCTGTCTGTATATATCCCTATAATATAGGGGGAATAAAATTGGACTTTATGTTTCGGAAAAAATCGCCTGTGTTACAGACGAGTGCGGAATTCCGGTCGCACCTGCTCTAACGGGCCAGATGTAGAAGACAATCACCAGTACGAACAATCACTTACTTAAACCCCTCTGCCCCCCCTCCCTTGCGTAATTGTTAGGAATATATTGGCACGGTGTAAGACATCCATATATCTAAGGCAACCACCACATTTCTCCTGGACAATAAGTGGGCGTCCTAGACAAATCCGAATGTACTTTGAATTATTTGTGAGCCTGGACTGATTGGCCACTGGGCTTCTGAAGCGCCTTATTAATTGAAAATGGCATAGCACCTTGCGAAGAAAATCAGAATTGCATCATTTTTTAAAGATACTGGTTCTTTTAGTGGCTACTTTTAACCATTTGGTTTGACAAGAACATCACATGCAAAATGTTATTCTTCCATGTGGTATCATTTTGATAGGATTTGGCAAGAGGAAAAACAAAAGTAAAAATTAAACATTAATTATTTTGCTTCTCTTAGGCTCAAGGTTTTTTTGTTTCTATATATTTATGTCCAGGGTAAAGGGAATCAACTGACCTACTGGCTTCAGGGCGAGGAACCAGGCAACAGAACCTCCCAACGCCTAAGCACCCATGGCAGTCAGCGAGAACTGGCCACTCTGGAGAGACCGACCCGAGGGAAGGGCGCCCTCAACCACTCGCCTCTTTCCCTTGACCACCAGCAACAACAACAGCAACAACAACAGCAACAACAACAACAGCAACAACAACTAACACAGCCAGTTCACGTACCATGCGCTAATGCACAGCCCCAGAACATTGTGAGCGTTCTCAAAACACTGGACCAGCCGAAATCAGGCTCCTTCTCTGAAGGTATAAATGGACTGCAAAGACAGTATCTCAGCCCTGCTCTCAAAGAGCGAGCTCTGATGGCGCCTAAAGGCTTGTCCGGCGAGCCCTTGGCACCGGTGAGGCGAAGTGAAACTTCTAGGAAGAATAGGGAGCACGCTAGTAGCCTTTACGACAACTCCTCCTCCACACCCACAGAAATCACCACGTTGCTAGTGGACCACCTGCCTTCTACGCCTATCAATGGCACCCACGTCTGAAGGTGATATGTGTCACGACGAGGTGGAATCAGATGTTCGTCAATTTTTGGGCATATGGAGTTATCGGTAATATCTTTAAAGCCTGTTCATTTGCCTTTCTTTTCGGGAAAAAAATTGCCATCTATGTTGAATAGAAGTGGAAATATTTGCCATTGAAAAGGGTCAGGGTTTCCTGGTTACAGATTTAAAATCAGAGAGAAAATGGCCGCCAAAGTTTGGTAGCTTCCATAGCCTGAGAGTCCGTGAATATAGAAAAAAAAATGTGTGCCTTTAATTAATGTTTTTCAGTAAAATACTCGCAAACTTTTTTTTTAATGGCCGTAAAAGGTGCTGAGCCAAAATTTTAAAAGTTTTTTTTTCTAAATTGCCGATTTCTTTGATTTCATTATTTTGACGAGGTCCTGATTTCACCACGATACCTCACATATAGACAGCGCTCTCAGGAGCCCTAAAAACGACGTGTTTTATATAATAATTGTGTACAATCTTTTGTCTTATTTACAGTTCTGTGATGATTCCGAATGTGCTTGTACTGTACGTCACCGACAGCAGCCTGTTGGTAAATCACATGCCTTCTATCTACGCCGCTCGGTGGCACTGGGTGTAAACAGTGTCTGAAATGAGTGACGAGTCTTGAATATACAATTATTTGTTCTTTTTTTTTTGCAATTATTTTACAGCGCTGGCAACTGCATAAGGTCAAGTGAGCGCACGCGACACATTAAATTTTCAGTTGGAAGGTAATTTTGAATTTTGACCGGGTGGCGGCAGAAGCCCACTCTTACCGCTTTTGGATCGCAAGGAGATCTTTAACGTGTGCAGCGTGCACACGGATACAATCTTTAGTCGTATTTACATTTCTGTCATGATGCCTAATGTTCTTTTTTCCAAAAGTCTGCAATTGGACCACATGCCTTTTGCACCCACGTATGAAAACGATGTTATCAGTGCGCTCATGAGTTTGAAATGATGTAATATAATTAGTAAGAGTTTTACAGTGCTCACAACTGGATAAGGTCTGGTGAGAGCACTTGTGTCTGAAGTTAGATTTTATATTAT